ATTCGGTTGCTGTTAGCTGCCATTTTGAAGGAAGAGATAGAAGTAACATGTACATGTACAGTTAAACTGTGTACTCTGTTAATTGACCATCGAGGTTTACCTTACTTCCACCACCGTCAAAATAGGCTTAATCCATTTTGACGTGACATATTCCCACCAACGTTGTATGCTTTGCAAGTTTGACAGCAATCAATGAAACTTGTTTCACTGTATATCGCTGTGCGATGATGATGAAGATTGAACAGTTGAAAGCAGGGCCAAGGTAGCAATAAGAAATTCCCTAAGGTTTCCAAAGGTTTAAAGCACACTGAGTAGATCCACGAAGGCCACTATATCATACTCATCGCGTGGCCATATCTTCGACACCTACTGTGCCTGTTCTTCTGATAATGATATAAGATTATATTTTTCGTCACACATTATGTGATGTCATAAAATCTACGTATACACGTCCACACACATAATATGACTGTTTTAAAGGAATAATGTGGCTGATATACATCTACACTTTGCTTTGACCCGGTCATAAACATTGAAAGGCTGCAACTGTACGCCACCTGTTAGAAGTTGAATGATTCAAGATAGATTTTCAAACTCCACCTCAAAATCAAGTTGCTTAGATCTGCCATTAGGACAACAATCTTCAAGATAGCCCAAACCTAAAGCGTGCTAATATTTTTTAGTTGCATCGTTGAAATTGAGTTGGAAAGTGTTTAGATGAACCAAATCGTTTGTGAAGCTGACAGTTTAGTGGGAAACGGTTTATTTTATTCACAATGATAAATTTTATAGTGGAGCATGGTTACCCACTCGTGCATGGAAGACCTGGTTTTTTGGAGGCTGTCGATTGAATTTGACAAATAATACATTATCTCCCATCAAAATTACTGAGTCAATAACGAACTGAATATCTCTGAAGACGATACGTGACCAAAGTTTTGCAATACTGGCAATACTGGTCAATACCGGTGAGAGCTGATTGGCATAAAAGTAACCCACAGATCTTCATGCAAGGGTCCTGAAGTCCAAACCCCGGACGGGTCAGTGAATATGCACTGCTGATTACCTGTAATGAGAGATAAACTCTAATCTAATGATTCCCGAGTTTACGTTTGAGTGGATAAAATTTTTATGTGAATTTCGGGCTTGAAAAGGGATTAACTAGGGCTGTGACACCACGTATCACATGCCCATTTGGACAAATGCCTACACTTTTACAGCTTCCGACATGGCTACCCGAATAAGATGGGTTCCAGAGGAGAACACTGATAACTATATTTCAAGTTATTGTTCCCAGAAATTTATACTAAAGCAATCCTAAAGATAATCTAACTCACAACGTTAGCAACCTAGTCATCTGCATAGAAGGCGATCGCGTTCGCAATAGCATACAACAACAGTCGAGGTCAGCTGCAGACCGCACATCCCCAGATGCTCAATTCGGACTCATTGCGCAATTAATCTGGACAAACCTAAATGTGGCTGAAAAGCTGGTTCTGTCTCACAGCTGCACTTACGAACCGTCAGCTATCACAGCGGATCGAGCGCACTTACAAATGTTTGGCAACATCGATGAATTAACAGATGACCAATGATTATGAACAAAAAAACAAGGGTCATTTATGCCAAAGTATCTCATGATAATCAAACATATGGCTGATTCCGCTTCCTCTTTAAAAACCTCATTACGTAACTGCAATGGAAAACTGGTGGCAATTAGTAAGGCGTTCCTGATCAAAATACATCATCCCGTTTTGCGCGCCCAAACGCTTGTGACGCAGACAATCCACTTTCCTTGGAGTTTATCTCTTGTTTTTTCCGAGTATATCACCTCACTTTATGCTCGCAAACATTTTGATGAAAGTAAACCAATTATCTTATAGTTGACCCCACAGTTGACAAGCCGGCGGGGCCTTTACAATTTGGCTGTGCTATATGAGTGCTTCCGTGGATAATTTATCAAAGTCTTTGTCATTCATCGGATTTAATTGTTTGATTCATATTTCTTGCATCGGTTTTATGATTACCTACGCCACAGAATTTTTAAATAGTTCAAATGTGTAATCACGCAAGAGTGGCATTCTTTGTCAGTTCAATCGTCAGGTCAAAAATAGACATAAAAAATGTAGTGTTGAGGTCAGCTTTCCTCAAAAAGCACGAAGCAGAATGGTAGGTGGCTTTGAGTAATAGAAAACCTCAGAAAATGTCTATACTCGTTGTTCGTTCATTAAACGTATAAAACCTATTTAAAAATGAGCGATTACGTAAAATGGGAAATGAAACCTTGGGGAAAATAATGCTGCAAGAACATTAGTCAACGACTCTGTTTGAGCGGGATGTCTTTGATATGCAACAGTTGGATAGTAACTGTTTACTACGAAATCGCGGAGCTGTTCAACTAGTAATTTACAGATAAATGGGATAAGAAATTTTTGTTCCACCGTACACTTTTTGAACTTTTGCTTTGTTAGTTTATCTTATTTTATGGGGCACAGGACTTCAACAGGCAAACCGTACATCATTTGGGCCACTGACTTCTAGTCAGGGCCATATCTCTCAGCATCTCTTTCCAACGACGATCCTCATCCCTTGAACCCCAGCTTGGAAGGCGGGCTGCCCCAACCGAAGCCAAAGCGGAGCGCCTCTGGCAGACGATGAGTTTTGTATCATAAATGTTTTCCTCAAAGTTTACTCAAACAAACATTATGGTACAATGCCACGTACATCCAGCCGAGAGATTTCTCATAGACTGTGCAACCCGACCCACTTGGCATCACTGATAAAAATGATTTATCGTACAAATCTTGATTATTTCTTTCACCCAAACATCTCATTCGAGTGTGAACACCTCACTGTCTATCTGAACTTCTGCTTTAGCTTTCTGCTACCCCGTGATCCCTATACACACATCCCCGCCAGATTTTCTTCTCCCATTTTGAACACGCTCAGAATAATCAAAGAAAAGGCCTATACAGCTAGTGACCGAGCTTTAGTTCAAAAATGTCAGTGCTGATCAATACTGCGATTCAAAATCTTGACAAACTCTACACTGAAATCCTACTTGGTGATCAAAATTGGCAGCGTATGTGGAGTGCTATGAAACACCCAGTGAAACAAAAGTCAGATTGCAAGGGCCTCAACCCACAGAAGTTGAACTCAACTGCATGGTTTCATGTGCACTGAAACAGAAGTACCGGAGTCGTATTTCTAATCATCTAACCGTCGTGAATTTTTGCATGTTAATTTCAATCAGGTGTGGATGGAGCTGATGTGTCTCAAAACACAAAAAGCCTCCGGTTCTGATGACCTATGTCCTGTTGTCCTCAGGGAATGGGCCTGTTATCTGGCTGAACCACATTTTGAAATTTTCAACCGTTGCTTCGAGTAATAAAACCTGCTCACTGTTGAAACCTCGTGTGTATTATGCCACACCCAAAAAAGGAAGCCGGGAAATTTGCATCAATTTCCCGCATTCCCTTTTGCTAAAGATTTTTGAGACGTTTACGCTTTATAATAATATTCTTATCACTGAGTACATAGATCACACAGAATTCGATTATTACAAATAACGTTCCACCTTAGACACTTTTGCGCAGCTGGTAGACTAAGTTTTTCAACAGCGTTTCCTCAACTACAGTTAACTGTATCGATAGTGACAGGCTTTTGTCTCCACTTCACGGTACGAGATTGTCTATTATTACCCTGTCTCAACTCCAACATTATTTTACTGGTAGAATACGCTTCATGAAGTTTCTTAGAAAAACTTCGGATTTGTTATTGCTCAATGCAGGGAGCTTTAGGGAGCACTACTGTACATTATTCTTTCCTTTCTCTATATTCGAGACCTACCCACTGACCCAGATAATCATATCTAGTGTGCTGGTAATGTCCTCATGGGTTCCAAATTCCAAGATCACTTCCGTTTCTCACAGTTTAAAAAAAAACAATTTATCAGCCATAAGCTTATAGTCTTCGTATTCAAAACTGTTTATAAATGACTCTAAATGAGGGCTGTCACATTCTTACTTACCGAACCACTACGATTAAATTATTTTGCTGTGTACCCTGTCATCAACCAGTCTGTTTCCCGATACACTCTCTGCAATACCTCGGCGTTCCTACTTGCCAAGATCTCACGTTGACTTCACATTTCAATTCGGCTTTTAAAGATATTCGACGATTGTTTCTTTATTTCCTGCTTGCAATATTTAAACGTTCTATGGTATTTATGGTATCTAATCGTGATGTCCGAAACAACCTAAAACATCAAATTTACCGAGAAAAGTATATATATATATCTCTAATTGTAATTCGAGAGATTTGTTGATTGTTTGGAGAAAATATCTTGCGCTGTGATTCTGAAAACTGATAATAACCCGATTGAGAAAAATGGCGAGGGGGATGATAGGTTTTTGTTTGGTCAAAATTGTAACAGTCGACTGCTACTCTGGGTGAACTAAAGCTGCAATGTTCGTGCATGAAACATTTTCAACATACAAACCATAAATGTGGTTTACCCAAATGAGGTGATTTGAAACAATAGACAAAGACGCAGAGCTTCCATTACATGATGATCAGACATTGCGTTAAACAGTATCACGTGTTTCTAGGATGGAAAACGTGGTGTTATGCCAACAGCAGTACTTCAATATCGCATAAATGAATCCCTGATAACCCAAATAACATTTCATTTCCAACCTGCTATCTTGATATCTTTGAACAGTTAGTTGTTTCTCTTTGTTTCTCCTATGAAACAAAGGCCATGAGGGAAGCTGTGGAATACTTCAACCCAAGATGCCATGTCATATAACTGATGGTGATCATTTTGAATTATTCACCTGAGGTAAACATGATAGTGTTTCAAAGTATCTGAAAAGGTCAACAAAATAAATGACCCCGCAATAACCCAATACATTTTGCATTGCTGATAGCATGCAAACTGATCATGTGTACTCCCCGACTGAAGCGTGAATAATCGAACCAACCTAAACGTGACTTACTCGAATTTTGAATGAGCGCTGATTTCTGAAAGACATAGGTGAATAACAAATATTTGAAAAATGTTTTAATACAAACAAAAATAACAAAAGTGGCAACCTTTTCTGTTCTGTTTTATAATTGTGCGGCGGTGGCGCATAATACATCCAATTAATTACATACAGTTCTGTAGAATAAACGAGAGCAGTTTGACTTTAAAGGTGACGCAATACCATAAGCAAATGAACTTCCGACAGCAAAAGCAGACATCATGACGTTTGGTTGTGAATTCGGAAAGTCAGATTGTTCCACGCCCGGTTGACATCTTTCACACCCCAAGTATGACCGAACTAGTTTGACACTAGTGTTCAAGTAAAATGGGACTACCTCAGTACATGCGGTTTTAAATTCTCGTCAGAGCAGAGACGATTAGCATTTGTCTTTCAATGACCATACCAGTGTACGCTCACAAGCGATTTTTGCGAGTTTGAAGCTTTCTCGACCAGGAGCTCGACACATGGCTTATCACCAAGCTTCCAAGCATGTACTAATTGACATTGGGTAAAATTTTACCTCGGAACACAGAATATTTAAACACTTCCTACTTCAGAATTAGTCTAGAAAACACTATTTGACCTTTCGCGAACGAGCACAATAAGTTGGAATACATTCCGCTTACCTCGAGCGATTGTTTTGAATAAACTCGGACACGGACAGACCTTCTTTGATGGCAATCGGTGGTATCGTTTCCCGTGCAGGTGAGAGCCAGGAAGACGGAAATCTGTGAGGTGATAATAAACAGGCATAATGTAGCGTTGCTAAGAACGAACACCACACGGGACCATGAACCACTTACTCTGTATTCATTTTAAGCAACCCCGACAATTCGAGTGTATCCGCTAGAACCTTTTTGCGAGTTTCCTCACCTTCGATTGCCTACAGTAAAAAAATTGACATGCTTAGAAGGCTCAAATTATATTTGTAGAATGTAAAAAATGACAATGTTGATTTGAGTTTATATTTGACAGAATATCTCCTTTACCTTTTCTAGATTTACTTTGTATACAACTATCAGCTTTGCAATTCCATGAATCTGAATCGGTTGCAGTATTTCAAATATCCATTCGGTCAACCATAGAATGAGCAAATGGAAGGAGTAATACTGCTGGAACAGAACTAGGAGCAAAAGTAGCTTTTTGTATCAATTTGTGTGACCTAGTTGACTGTGTTTAAAGCTCATAATGAAATTACGATGCGAGTTTCCGTGGAGAATACCAACCACATGGTTTTATGTGCCTCCACACCTTTCATGCAACATTAAGTTCAAACAACCCCGAAAATAACTAAGAGAAAACGAGGAAATCCTTTTTCTGCTAGAAGGTGGCAATACGATAGGGAAACATGAAAACCATCGGTTTTCGTTCATCTTGACGATGAACATGCACACATATTTTGAGGATTCATCCACCTTAATTAAGAATCAAAGTTAGACCTCTGTAACTTTTATTCATACATAAGCTGGAATATCGTCAGATAAAATAGAAACGTCAAGGATTTTGTGGAGGTCTGCCTCAACGTTTGTAAAGTTTCAACCACAGACAAACTGGCCTGTCTCGATTCGAACGATTCGGACTTATAGACAGAAGGTCACTGATGAACGAAGTCTCAAGGAGCTAAAATTCCTCACCAATAAGCACTCCGGTTCACTTGGTTTATCCATAACGGTCTTTGAACTTCTTTTCGACAACTAGGCCCAAACGTATTCATTATCTTCATTCAGTGTCTGGTAGAAGGTAAACTGGATAACACCTTACGAAATGTTCATGCAACTCAGATAGGCCCTTGGAAGCGACTGGAAACGCTTCGTCCGATTTTCTCATCTTTAGTCCTTTTCAACGTGTTAGGGAAATCATTTGCGACGGTCTTTTTTCGTCAGTTCACCCGAGCGTGAGGGGCATTCCACTGTCAAAGAATGAACTTGCTGGATTCGTTTCAATCTGCCGGAGATTTATGCAAAGCAAAATATGATATATGTGTTTGCCGGGGTACATACACTTTGTCTTAGCCGTCCGCTCTCAATATTTACTTTGTTCATCGTCAACGAATGTCAACCTTTATATGCTCATGATGTAGCTTTTCATGGTTTATTAGTTTTACTGTATTTTCTTCTTCAGTTCGTTTACATGTGCTCGTTTGATGTGCTTCAGAGCTAACAGGATATTGTCTCACAAAACACGTGCGAAGATTGAATGAAAGGATTGCATTCTTGACTCCTTTTGTGGATGTAGAAAAACTGTACACAAAATTGGGTGGGCGCACGAATGTCACTGTTTACGAAACTGAAACGGAAGAACCAGTGTTTTCCCAACAGAGAAGTCCAACTTGAGTATTCTCGTACGGTTGTCGTACGCTTCGGCCAGGTAATAGCCCAACCAATATTGACAGTCTCCCAACTTCATAATACGTGTAGGGTACCACAATCGATGGAGGTCGAGCATCAGGGTTATTTACGCACACCGCACCAACTGACACAATAAATCCTAATTACCATTCTGTGCCTAGTAGAAATAGCTAGAGAGAGAGCTCACACACAAAAGCACAAGCTATAGAAATAAATCCAGTGATTGGAAGAAATCAGAGCTAACGCTGATATACACGAAATACGGTACATGGAATACTTTTGAAAGATTTTTGTATACTACGGTTCATGAAGTATTTGCAAAATAGTTCTATTGAGGATATTGTTTAAACAGTTGAGTGATCGGTAAAACCGAAAATAAAAATCAAAGTTGAGATTCTCACAGTAACCATATCCTTGAGAATTATGTTTTAAGGCTTATTCACTAACTACTTAGGTAAGAACATGTAAGACAAAACTGCTTTGTTTTTTGTGCACATCCGGTATACAGAAATTAGTACAACTATTTCTCTCTTCCTCATATGCGTACAAGTATGCATTTATAAATTTTACCACCTTATATGCAGTTGTATTTAAACCACCTTATCAATAACGATGTTGGGCGTAAGGAATTGGGCGGATACAAAGTAAATGATGTTAAATATGACGATGATAATCATGATTACAACTGGAATAATGTCGATAATAACAATGGTAATCATATGGGTTTATTTTCCAGTGGTTTTCTATGAATTATGTCGAAAACAGAGTATCCAGCTTGGTTTAACCCATTCGATTAATCAGAGGCACCAAGCATTCTTGATTATCTTCGGTGTGTATGTCAAAAACTATTTAAAACAATAAATCCCGAACCAATAATCTGTAGGTGTGGATTACAGTTTCAGGCTCCATTGCAAAACCGTGTTCCATCTATTTATATTTTTAGTGTCTTTCTCGAATTAGGCGCTTTGTGGTACGTAGTGGGATTATTTAACCTTTTGTCGATCTACTGTTAGAACACAGTTGAAAATCAACAGTGAGATTCACGGATGTCGATTGTGACTCCGTAATGTTTCTTTTATGGTGACAATTGTAGGTCACACAGGCCTACACACACCTACCAAGACACTATCGGGAGTTTCGTCCTTGGACATTTGCCCCCAATAATTTGGATGATTAATAGATAAATTGAATGACAAAACTTGTACTTTATCACAGGGAATATTGCATTGGCCCGGGACGAAAAGTGACAAAGTGACGAACAGGCTACACTGAAGAGCGGAGTTCAAAAGGAGCGGGGCAAATCAATGTTTCAATACACATCATCGTCATCATCGAAAGTGTGAAAAAGGATCAAAACTTCACTGGGATTTGGAAGTGACAAGTGAAGCACAAACCGCCGTTCAACTCCGATTAATCTGCACTCTTAAGGAATGTGCGGGTTACGTAATCAATCTGTATTGAGAGTACTTGACTGCCTTGCTACTTACTTTGCTCATAGTGGCCCGTTTGTCAGCCAAACGATTCAGTTCGGCTGCTGTCACCTGACTTTGCCATGGCTGGACTTCTTGAGCCGAGGTGTAGAGAAAAATTTCACCACTAATAGGACAAAGAGAGAGAGAATTCGCATGTGAGGAGGAACGGAAACACGGAAGTTGGTTTGATGTTTGATTCAAATAGTAATAATAATAATAATAATAGTGATCATAATAATAATGGATAGGTTATCAAAATGCTATCGCAAAGTGCCTCCCCGTTTACGAATGAATTTCCCTGTTTTGAAGATGAACAATAGGCGTTGTACGGTTGTTTCTTTCCTGTTGGAATTGGTCCGCAAGACGAACACATTTTTAGTCTTGATGGACTTGATTTGCACATATTCGCTAACAACTTGGCTGAGAACTCTCACCTCTAAAGTACAAGGAGACCACACATAGCGCTCAGTGCTAGTGAAATGCGATCGGCATATGCAAAAGTAACATTTAGATTGAATATCCTTATTCAATTATATATGGACTCTAGACGATAAAGTCTGGGAACATGATTTTCGGATCCTAGATATATTTGGCACTGGAGATTAGATCTGACAAGTCGAAACGATTGTCGAGTTCTCTTTGTCAGACGTCACACCATTATCAGTGCAAATGTAAAATTGTTTTAAACTTCGGTTTCAAAGGAAGCATGAGCATAAGCTGAGTTTTACTATAATGACGATCAGCGATAAATGGTTTTTATTTACTCGTATTTATGAATAATTTTTAGACAAATGTTTTATATAGAATGTAACCCCCAACCTCCGGGATGATTATTCCTCAATCGTGAAAAACGTGCTATTGCTACAATCGAGAGCAGTTGATAATTGAATGTACTTTCCTTCCTTTAACATTTAATTATCAGCTGTTCAATAACCTCGAATAAAGAGTGTAGTACCAGCCGTGGTGCGTTCTTTCCTGAACCGTGGTGGAGTCATCATTGGTGGTGTAGAGGGAGATTAGGTTTGAGGGAATATGAGCAAGACAGTTGTCGTCTTGATTTGAGAATTGTCTCCAGTACATTTTCCCCGCGTGGGTGATCAAATGTGTATTTTGTGATTTCCAACCTTTCATTACTTCGGTTGGATCCCTATTTTTTTATACATCCTTGCTTGATGAACAGCAGACATGGTAAACCCTATAGTCAACAGGACGTGCTGTTGAGTCAGAGAAGCTTTCAATTTAAACCCGAGTATAATTAGGCACGTAAATGAGAAAAATAGTCGGTGGGTGAAGAAATTCTTATATAATGGTAGCCATTATCCCAAATCAAGGTAATTAATTGGATGCAGAGAGTAGGGGATGTGTGTGTATGCGTGCGTATGTGTGTGTGGAAGAACGCTTAGTGTGTCACTTGATGTGTCCTTTCGCAACTTGAGTCAAATGACATTTCATGTTCACTTTTATTTTACCCAACAACCCAAGGCAATTGAAGCACTTGATCAGTTTTTTGGGAGAGGCTATACAGGTTGGGGCTCAGTGATCGAATGGCGATCGCCTCGGCCAGAGCTAGCATCGAAACTCGGGCTGACCTCAACCGGGTAGAATGCAACAAACAAAATAGGAAGTTTTCACTGGTTTTGGTCTTGTGCCCGGTGTCCACGAGATAACCCACAATCAGGCATGAGACACAGCCCGTTGTGCCCTGACGTGACCATCGCGGGTACTGCTCCTTAATGTGTTAAAACAAACGCCTCATTGCACTACATATGCCACATAGGCTATAGACACATTGAAAAAAATAAGTTATCATATATGAAATCATTTTCGGCATTTCTCTTTCACCTTCATTTGCATCACTGGTGAAGCGGGGAAAGTGGAATTTACAACCGCTGTAAGTGACTATATATGCTTTCTGTGTGTGGATCTCCCTTAAATGGGATTCCTTTTAATAATTCACTCCTGGAGCCTCAGAGGATTTTCTTTCTTCGGACTGAGTCAAGTATTCTTATCAATGAATTGTTCCAGAAAACACTTGTCCTGCAGCGTTTGGCCGATGGAGTGTATTTCTTCATCCAGTGCGTCTGATGAACTAATCTTTCGGGGTCTCAGGGCTAGACATCAGACAATAATACGCTCGTATTTAATTAGTATATAATTAATTACGCATTTAAATGATTAGGTGTAACACGTTGCATGTCGGTGCAATAATGCATGAGTAAAGTCTCATTGGGGGAGTTTCAAAAATACTGGAAATGGAACATGAACTCACCTTCGTGTTAAATATGTAGTATTCAATGTGCGACGATTAGGATCTTTAGATTTTGAAGTAATCTGAATTAGCAAAGTAAAAAGATANGAGAAAGCTGAATGCCATCATCGAGCATACCTTCAGGTAGAAATACCATGCATGATTGAAAATGTCTAAACGTTTATTTACTCAGGGAAGAGCTTGCTGAATGAAGGAATCAAACGAATCAATAATGCAGGTCATTTTCTGTGACAATCCATGAATGTGTTTGTTCTGTGTGAAGTGAAAATGATTCTCTATGTATATTAGGTGGCTTAGATCAAAATCAATCCTCTGCGTAAGATCATATAGATTTGAAATCAGAGATGTGCCTTCTAGACTGGTCTAGGATACTCCGATCTTATTTTGCAATCAATTTAATTAACGGTTATCTCATTATATGAATCTCAAAATACCCCTAGGCATGTAAATAATAAAAAACACAGTCTTTTGGTATTACACCATTGGCTTGGGGCATAGCTACTGTTGTTTATTCGGCAAAGGCAACAGTCCACAAATGCCAATATTTTTCGCGATTGTACCCTGTATCCTAGGCTTGATTCCGCATCATGGTAAAATACGCATGTTTGTGGTTGCATTCCCAATCCAAATGGCTTTCATTCATACAAAAAGGGTCAGTCATGAACTGAATCAAAATAATCCGAGTTGTTTCCCGTCTGTTTTGTTCCATTTACTATCTATTCACAAATATTTTCTCTTATTATAATGATCATTTTCTATATGTTGTACCAATGCTTAGCTCGTACGTCATCGGTAGCAGTCGGTGCTCACCAGTATCTGATCTTCGAGTTAATAATATAGTTCTTCCACAATTACTTGTCAATAAGAAAAGTTATTATACTTCATCAGTGGATAATAGTTTAATTTGTTGGACGTTGGTAACAAGCTTTCAATAAAGCTTTTGGAATTTTTACGTGTTGCGGTGACTTATCATGATTTTAAACACAGATGCCTGTTAATTCCCCTTTTGCAGTCGATCGGATCTCGACACCGGGACCACAATTAGAATCATAGCCGCCGGCTGATAAAATAAATTCATTCAAAAATGATCAATCAAATTACTCGTCTGGCTTTTGAGCAGAACACACTCAATCATACAGAGTATGATTCACAACAAATCTTTTCTGCCCCCCAAAAAAGGGGTTTTACTCAGGGAGGCCCTCACCATACCTCCGGCAACGTGGTACCTTAAGAAGATTGCTGCACAGTCTGCTTAGTTTACTATATTTAATAAGCATTGCAGTTCAAACCTCCAGTTTCGTTTCTTGTTTTCGTCCTATCTATCTAGCCTACGAAGGAGGAAAGGCACGAAACCGAGAAAACAGGTCAGGCGTGTGCTATGACGATTAAAGTTTGGAGTAGGCTAAGAGGATTTCTATTTGAGCAGATTGCTGTCATTTCAGCAAATCTCACTAAGTATCAATTCGGTTGATTTGTGGACATCAATCAACTTCAGCTTAAATTGAAAATCCTCCAAAGCCAGTATTTCACATGACGAGAAGCCGAACAGTTAATATGCGAACCCAGTCATCTGAACTTATGAAAGATACACAACAGAAACAATCATGTTCAGAACGACCAAAGTGCTTTCTATTTTGTTCCACCAGACCTGGTTGCGCATGCACTGATGCACAAAACGATGTTCAGCATACACTGTTTTTTCAGTGATTTCTCCGTAACAAAATCACTTACAATAATCAAACGTCGTGTAATTGTAGTGCAACTCAATACATTATAAAAAAACAATTTATTTATGACTCTGATATACTGAAATATCTTGAGATCTCGCCCCTGGAGGTACGACATAATATGAATTCTTCCCCGAAAAATGATAAAAATATAAAAGTGGTGACACGGTACATTAACGTCTACTATATATAATGAAAACAAGACGTTCGGGCATACTTCTAATTAGGTTCTTAATGGGCTGAACTTCAAAATTGTTCTGCTTTGAAGTAGTGATCCGTGTAGAATACCATTATATTTGCCTGAACATTGCAAAACTTTGGACTACGGCATGGCCAGCCTACGGCCTTCAGCTTATGTGCAGCCAATTGGGTTGATGTTTTATGTTTAGATGCCTTATACGATAGAAAATAATATTCTTGGGGTGTAGAAATTCGTTCAAGGTTTTGAAGTAATTTTCAGTTGTTGGACCCTAAGCCTCTTCACGTTACTGATAATTACACCGCCCCTTTCTGATTTTCATTTGATGAGACTGTTAACACAAGCAACTGGGCCATAAATTTGACGATCTATTGTTCATGGGGCCGATTCGATCTTTCTGGAGCTCGGTTCAGTTTGCAACAGTCACTGTTTGCACTACATTCGCACCCAGGTGCCATGATATCTCCAACTTCGCCCCAATTGTTACCTGATTTGAAATAACACCTTAAATTGTGTCGTGCTTAGCTTGAGGATCGTTTTTCGACTTTTATGTTTATTGTTCGAATTATATCGATGCTTGTTGGTCAATGAGCCACCAAAAACCTGCGATGAACTCCTCCAGACAACCTTGCAAATACTAGCACCCAGGTAATTGCCGGCGAGTATTTCTCTTGTGCCAGCTTCAATAGCGTCGAACTGCGTATCATTCTCCTGGTTCGACGAACGATAGATCTGTGAACTACAAACTACGATGCCTGATTCTCGATCACTTACCGTGTGCGACGTTATTATTGTTCAGCATTGTATAACCATGCACCACCTAAGGCATCTGCGAAGTGGTCGACTCATGCAACGTACATTACAAGCTGTAAAGCACACTTTATCCGCAGCATTCGGAATAGCGTAAGTAACATTCTGAAAAATCGAAAAGATATTTTCTAAAATGAATCGGTCGAAAAAATCCATAGTATAAATTACATATTTGAAACGCACTTCAGTCCAGACTGTGTGCCAATCAAGCCACAGTACAACGGTCTTTGTTTGTGGGTACCGATGAAAATACTTTAAATCTGACTAAAAACTTTCCTTGTTTTGCAATAAATCAAAGGTATCGAAAATTAGAAATAAAAAATCAGCTATCATGAGATGCTGTTTACTCTGTGTGAGTTTCATACGGCTGCGAGTGTGTAGCTTTGGGAAAGCTATCCAACAGCGAATACAACACCGGTTGATGTTGGTTGAAAATGTAGCAACACCTCTCACTCGGAGGCTTTGAGGTACAAAGTAATTAGTAGTATCGTTTGTATGTGGGTGGTATGGCTGTCGAGAAATTGTGAATAACAGTGTGGGTTTACAAGCAGTTTGTTTCAGTACTAACCATAGCTTTACATCACGCCATACTGTAACCTGACGTTTTGCAGTATACACTTTGATCCATCAGGAACTGGAAAGTGCAGCAGTAAAATATCGTTTCATTATTGATAATCTTGTACAAGTTTTTGCTTGATAAACTAACAACGGTACGGTGAATATCGAGGAAGAGAGCCGAGGTCAGCGAAATTGTTCCAGGAGAAATGTACACATGATGGGTAGCGAACGAAGCTGTGAAAACCAATGTTTCAGGCAGTCTAACAGAATTGGTATGTCGATTAAGTTTAATTGTAAACAGTGATCACAATAAATACCGAAGTACCTAATCAATTGCTATTAAATCTAGAAAATCGTACAGGCGAAGGACAAAATATCTTATTTTTCCTGTTCTCCTCTAAGGCATATTACACACTTGATATCAAAACCCTGAACAGAGACTAGGTCAGATGGGGTCAGAGGAATGAGTCCAACTGATGGTTGTGCCGTGAACAATGGCACTCATGCATCTACTCAATTTCCTCAGTCTTAATTTACTTCAATTTTCTATCTTCAAATTGACACTGCTTTCACCACGCTCTCCTCTCCTTCATTCGAACGGAAAAGCAAAAGACATCAACGGGAACCGTTGCAGGTAATTGCAATATAAATGGTTGCATCAAATGTAACTTAGATTTTTAAATAAAATGGAAAAGCACTTGGGATGGTGGTAGGGGCGATGTTTTGGGGACTGAAACACAACGCCTCGATGATAAAACTTCCAGACCGTTTGCCCACAATGGTCGTCTCATCAGGTAACATCACCGATAAACGCCAAGTTGATGAATCCTCTTACCTATCCGGTTCATTCAGTGGCTCTGGTTTTATTAAATGTTTCCACTGGATAGGTTGGTTGGTAGGTAGGTTGGTTTATTTCAAATTTTATGATGTCCACAGAATCAACCTGCTTCTAATAAAGAATAACGCTCAGTTTATTTTGATTTTAGCTTTCATGTATAGTTGATGATATTTGCCTTTTCATACTTGAAAAAAATAAAATCCAAAGGACCCTGGAATAAACAAAGGTTAACTCTGACTACGCATGAATATCTCATATTGCTTTTGATGTTATTCGCGTTTCATCTTTATCTATTTCAGGTAACTCTAATAATTCCTGAGATGATATCCATTGATTAACGCAAAATTTAAGCGGTAGTCTGTTTATGAATTAATAAATTATGGAATATTTTCAACGACACTAAAAATATATTGCTCGCCCTTTTGTGAAATAGAGTTTTTGATCATTTTTTGTATTTGTAAAGTTGACCACATTTCTCACACGTTGATATGCATGAATCAATCTGTTCACGGATACTTCATTTCTGGCGATCATTTTGTCACTATCCCAGTTTTATCTTTAAACGTTCTCCGCCAGCTTCAAATGCGCTTAGACTAACGCTGACTTCCCTAAGTATCTTAACTGGTCTGTGTTTCTCTATTGGTGTCTTTAGTGAAACTGGTTTTATGGATGTACTGAGGAAAATCATCAATGTGCAGTTTCTTTCATATTTGGTAAAATTATGGGATCCTATTTTGTCTAACATTACAATTAATCGATCGCTTCCCGTAACTCATATCGACTTCGGTCACGAGGACCCCTTCAGAGTAAGTGTTAAAAACATAACTGTCGGTCAATACAACAGTAGCATTTCAAGATGTTATGATTTCCTTTTGTTCAATTCAAGTCAAGCCAAGGAATGGCTTTATACACCCCGAGAGGTGGATGTTCAGCAACCACATCACCATAGTGTGCCAACAAAAAGTGGAAAAAAGAACAACTGCAGTATGATGCAGCAATTAAAGGACGTGAAAAAGGACAGCAACATCGAAATAAATGGCATGCCCGGGAGTAAAAAACGTATTTAGTTTAACCTTTGGCGCAGATCTCTTGCAACAAGTTCATAGTTTGTTAGAAATCTGATGAGATAAGGGACAATAGACCGTTTCAGTGCGTGTCTTTAAAAGTTTGTGAGTGGAACGGGTGGATGAGTGAGAAAGGCATTGACTGAGGGTGGAATAAAGAGGATGAGAGATATCAGATTAAATCGTTTTGGAGAATGTTCTACAGGACTTGAAGGGATGTGTGACCACATACTGTACTAGATGTTCTCGTGGTATGAGACTACAAACTGACAGAAATTCGAGGGATCGAGAAATAAGTTTGAGTTCCTTGTTCAAAAGACCACGGAAGATAACAGGGGACCCATAAAGCCAGTGAGTCAAAACGCACGCCAAACCAAAACGCTTTATGAGATGGTTTGGGATGGGAAGTGATTTAAGACGTAAAACATAAAACGTGGGCCTCCTGACCTTCAGAAATACGTCATTAACGTGGTCAAACCAGGTGAGGTTACGATTGAAAATAAGACCCAGGTATTTGACAGACGGTTGTCGTTCCATCTGGTCACTGAGGATAGATAAAGGCGAGCTGGCGTTTGATAATTCATCGCATTTTTGCCCTTTCAAAAAAGACAAAAATTACGTCATTTCATTTTTGGGGTTTCGTGCGGAAGTTCCTTGAGACCACTCAACTATTTCAGACACGTCTTCTTGTAGAGTCGTTTGAAATGATGAACTGGGGTAGAGCAGTCCGAATATTATATCGTCTGCATATTTGACGAGAAGAGAAGAATTGCTCACAGGCATAGATTAAATGTGTGCAGAAAACAGAAAAGGGGATAAAATAGCGCCGTGTAGTACGCCTTTTTGAGGAGAGTAGCAGTGAAGATTTACGACCTTTGTAGCGTGTGAACTGCTGACGGTTGGAGAAATAGTTGGCCAAGAGTTCAATCGTAGAAGGTTGAACTCTGCCGGAAGAGAGAGTACTTAGCAAATGTGTCGATCAATTATGGTAAAAGCATCACTGTAGTAAAGAAAGCATATGCGGGCAGCCTTGCTTTTCTTATCCAAGTTGGATAAAACAAGGTGGGACAGGTAAGCAAGGGCATCCAGGGTACCGCGGGAATAGGTGTATGCAAACTGGTTCGGGTCATCAACACTGAACAGAGTCTTAAGCAGGAGCCTCTCAAACACCTTCATAAACAACTGAAGTGCAGGCAATGGGACGGAATTTTGAAGAACCTTTCTTTGATACAGGGGTAATAGAGGCTATTCTCCGGCAGTCGGGTATACGTTGCTGCAAAATACAATCATAGGAAAGTTCACTCCGTACAGGGGAAAGGAAGACAGCACATTCTTTCAAGACAGTGGATGAGACTCCGTCGGAGGATTAAATTGAGCAAACTTTTGATAAATGTCGACAGGTGTGACGCTGGAGTCGGGATCAGTGGTGTTTATTTCATATTCATTAGGTAGAGCAGTGAGAGCGGTTATACCTTTAATGAAACTCTGATTCAGACCGCAGCAGTTGAACGGTGTGAGGATTTGATGCCAGAAGTCCGCATGAGGGCTTGCCAGGTCTCACGACCCCCTTTGTTGTCACGCTGAGCACGGGTGTATAAAGGGTTTAACCTTCGAAGTTCAGCCCGGATGGATTTAGAAAGGGAGCGCACGTCTTTGCGCTTATGCATTTTGAAGGCACGCTCCTTCCTACGACGGAGTTTTTCTAGGTGTGGGGAGGAAAATCGATCGGGACGAATATAAATTGTCTCTAAGGGACAACACACATCGTAACAAAAGTTTAAGTAGCTTGTTACTTGATCACAGAAAACGGAGGGGATGGGATCAGAAAACAAAGTAAGGTCAGAGTGCCTGATCATTTCCATTAACATCGTGAGGTTTTCTGGAGAACGCTGTCTTACTTGAAGCTTGTGATCACGACTTCGAGTAAAAAGACGATGGTTCGTTCTGCTAAAGATGATAGGGGAAAACTTCAACACCGAATGATCAGACATTCCCAGTGAGGGTCGGCGGTCTACAAGAAAAAAATTAGGAAGGTTGATGAAATCCAAATCTAGGTGTGCGTCAAGCCTGGTGGGAAAGGTATCAATGTTTTGAAGACCTAAGGTGGTTAAGAAAGAGGTATCGAAATAATTGAAGTCACCACAAATCATACAGACGGAAGTATCTACATATTGAATCAGTGTAGTTGAAAGAGAGTTATAAAGATCGTTAAGACATGAGATGAGAAAGAGGGGCTGTATACACATTTACAAGAATAAGTGACCGGAAGAAGCTTAAATGTCTGGGCTTACATTGAATTGCGGATGCGTTTATATAGTGTGTAGTATAAGAAAACACATTTTTGGTTAGATGACACCACTTATTTTTGACAAACGTGATGACGCCACCTCCCCGTCAGGAATAAGGAACAGGATGATCGACGCGATAGCTAGCGAATCCATCCAGGTGTATTATTTCATCCTCAATTTCATTGTGGAGCCAACTTTCTTGTAGCATGTTCACACCTAGTTGGGCATATTCCCGTGGTTTGATTAAGCTGGTGAGATCGGCCGTATTTCGGATAAGAGATCGGACGTTAGAACTGAGAATGATGGGAACACTCAAGCGGGAGATGGTTTGTTTCCGAAGAGCAACTTTCCAACCGGCTCGATGCTTCCTCGGATTTTCCGAAAGCTTTCTGAACGTCCGTTTGGTTTTATTCCTTATAGTTCTCCCAAAAGAGGTTGTCGCTGCACATTAGGTCCATTTGATGGAATGCATGAAATCCCGGGTGTATTTGATCAAATTTGTCATTACTATAGTAGCACAACAGTCCTTTGGCAACCAAGATAAAAGTTCATGCGAATGATGCGAAAAAACAGACAGTTAAGGTTGTGCAGTGAACAATCCGATAATGAAAAAAAAACGGATAGTGCGGCTAAAATTCCGAGGCCCCACCGGTGTTATGTGAAAAATGATTCTAACTTTCAGGTTAGATTAAAATGAACCGATGGCGTTAGCTTTCTACATCAGCCTGGTGTTCATAGCCACCGACAGTGGAAAATGTATGCTACATTTCCAAGAAAAATGTCACGTAATGTGGATACCGATCGGTGTACCGCGGGCTGAGCGCATGGCGGACGGCTTGAATCAGTTAGATCCAGTGCCAAGTTTATCTAATGGAGCTATTAACTGTTGTGCTTGCCCCAGTACCAGTATAGCACAACACAAGTGTACAAAAGAATTACAGACTGGATCTATGGAATTCAAACTTATCGACTCATTTATCTCCTCCAGTTCCATGTTCGCCTTCAGTGATGTCATTCGTATCTTTTCTAATGCTTACTTAGTATTTACGCTCAAATCGTTGTTTTATTTCACCAACCCGGCATTTTCGATAACCGAGATCGGCTAGATCAGTGATGGAAACACTGGGAACTGCATTTTCTCGGTTATTATAAATGTCAAAAATGTCAAAATGATCCGACTCGAAATTGGAGCTGGTTTTTCACGTCGTTTAACTTGTCTTATGAAATCAACCACGCCGCCCATATTTATTTTCAATCACAGCTGATTGTTTCTACTGGCTTCAGTCGGGCTCATCTTCAGAGATTTCATTCTCAAACCCCTTACATTGTGGCTATTTGGAAATTCCGGTTGGGAGATATCATGGTAAAACGTGTATATACATGAGTAATTAGTGGTAACACAGTATTCCATTCTCCAAGAACCACTGATATCGAGAAATCCCGGTCAAACACATAGCAACGTCATCTTCGTAACAGTTCTCTTCAATTGTGATAGTTGATTGGTGGTGTAGTTTCACCCACGCCGAGCTTTATTGTGATGAAAAAACTATGTAATCTTCGTTACCTCATGTAATCAGTACGAACTGCGTCCTCCGTGCGGTCCACATCTGCGATCCTCTTTCCGATGAAGTACCTATCGGGTGGCTGTACGAGGAGGACGCTTGAAATCGTATACATTTTTCATCCAGTCTTCGTGTTGGTAAAATCACTGTTGAACCGGTGCTGATGAGTGCCATGTGGGTAGGATTATCATGATTCATGCATGATCAGTGATTCCAGAACCATTTTTATATTCGGTGCAAGATGCTAAACCGAAATATGAGTGATACTGGTATCGATCAAGCGTGATCCTTTGATGTTTGATCAAGGGAGGAAACAAATGTGTATAGCAAAGACAGACACGTACGCGCGCAAGGCACACTGCTGACACGTGTCATGGGGTTGTAAGTTTTCGTGGAACCGAGGGAGGTCAGAACATGCATCACGCGCTTGTCAAAAGGCGAATAAAACATCGGCGTGCTGGTTTGCATTTATCTAGTTATCGGCTTGAGAGTTGGACAGCATCTGCTTTCAACAACTCTTCAGAGGTCAATTTCCTTTATGAATATATTCATGTCACATTGAATCACGTTGAAAGTTATGCTAAAATAACTGGGAGTGATACTCAGAAATGTTGGTTTCACACGCGATAACCGATTTTGTGAAACACCTATGAAAAATAAAACGAAGTTTGATGGATTAGGGAACAGTTTTTAGGGTGTATCAAGTAACAGCGACAGACTTTTGGTTGTATTTGTTTGCGATCGAGCGTTAGCTGTGCTGCTCGATGTTTGCCTAACTAAAGCAGATCGCTAACCATGTATATCCAAGGTAATCATTGATTGGTTTCGCTTTTAAATTATCATCCGTTACAAATCGTAAAATATTTCCATTGATGCATAAGAACAGAGTCGAAGCGCGAAGAAACTTCTTTTCGATATCTCGCTTCAGGCATTTACATATTCATTCTGCACTAACACATTTCATATCATCTGCAGTTCATACATTTTTTATTCGGTTTTCCCCTATCCAACTATCGTGATCCCATAGCCTGTTGTCAACCGAACATTTTGCACACAGACATTCACTGAAATTCAGCGTAGGACTTGTATTAATCTACTGACTAATCGAACTATATATGTAAATGCCTGAAGTGAGGTATCGAAAGAAATTTCTTCGCGTTTCGACTTTGTTCTTTTCATCCGTTAGTCAAACTCAACTTCTGATCAGAAAACCGTGTATCCAAACACCGTCCTTGTGCCTCATGAAGTTTTGCGTTTTCGCAAATTTATTCTATAATTAAACATGATTCTACGTTTTTATTTTACCAGTTTCCAACAAGTAATTGCCTACGCATGGCGTTCAACACAACGCCACTATTGTCCAGTAGCTTTTGCACCGAGGCAACATTCCGTCTAGCTTGTCAATGGTCGCCCACCACATGGCTTTCGTGGACCCAGGCGGACTGTAATGTGCATCGTATACGTTTGATCTACCGACTCTTGGCATACCCTGAATTGAAAGACTCAGCACATGCAAATCGGTTCAATCCCATCAAATCTTGCCTCGGTTTAGCTCCCCTTCTGGGCATGACCGACCTGCAACTTGATCAAGTACTTTCAATACTTCCTAAGTACACAGAAGCAGATTCAAAGTTCCCTTATCTGTCATCCGTTTGGAATTTAACCCCCGGTCTTTTGGCTTTACAACAACTTCTGCAGCCGTTGCTTGAAATTATTCTTCTGGCTGATCGTGTCTGGCATTTGCGTGATAAACTGCCCCATGAGTTATCATTCACCGGTCTGGTTAGGCTTTTCGATCCCGGACTGTCACCTCGATGCATGGCTTTAGTTGCTCGTCGATATAAGGCACATGTGTCTGACCGATCCTGATCGAAGTCTTTCTCCTTTTCTGCTACATATGCAATCCAACCCGGAGCAAATACATGCACAAACATAAACTGATTCCCTGTATCATTTTCTTTTCATACTGTAGACTGTGATGTAAACAAATGAATTCTATTTTTGTATATTGCATTCTGTTTAAACCTATGAATGTACTGCAAACATTTTGTGAGCTTGTTTGATCTGGTTTACTGTGTCCAGCGTCAAGGCAAAAGCACCGACAAGGATTGGGAGTAAAATGCACAAAAAAGACTGTATGGATACCGCACCAAGGCGGATAATACATCATCTGGGGATGACGTGTGCTAAACGTCCATTGAACATCATGTGGATCGAGGAATACGGGTCAAATCAGCTATTCCTTTCACCGTTGTAAGTGTGATTCTTGCAATATAAGAAACGCCACTAAATCCGTAACTTGTTCAGAGTTCATCTCACAAGGTAACAACCGATATCATTCAGGGCTTTTGAGTGGTTATCACATTATCACTCCGGAGGAGGTGGATTCGAATCACACTACAATGGTCCTACTTACTCATCATTTGTTTTATGGCCAACCTTTCATTGGCCACTTCCCCCTTCCTGAAAATTGTGTCGTTGCATATTCAACAAGAAAAAGGGAAGAGAGAAAAAAACTGTCAAGGATTCAGCATACCTCCTGGAAACTGTCCTGATCAGGGCAACCAATCGAACTCAGGTGATTGGTCGGAACCGCCAACCAATCAAGAAGGTTGACAACAATCCAGTCAACCAACATTTTGGTACGTGCATTCTCATGCCCTTCGTCTTCCCTATAAATAAGCATGTTCTTTACCTATTAAAGGAATTCTTACATAGTTTACAGCGGCATCCTATTTAAATACCTATGAAGTTTCTATATGAACGAGAAATGTTATCGGAGGACAGTCATTTTCGAATCCGACATCGAGACCATTCGGTGCGGTAATAACGATAACTATTTTTGACTTGTCACACTTTGACTAGACTTATTTACACTTGGGTCTGATCAACCTGGAGAGGATATTTATGCCGAAAATCTATCAGTACCGGAAGGTCATACTTATCGACCGTAAATGAAGCTCAGTTTTACAGGATCGAGCAATGCCAATTAAAATTTTACCCGGTCTCACCAGTTTATTTCTAAAGAGAATATTTCAATAAACACACTTGGAGATAAGGATGGTTTTCAGGCATCTTATTTTTTTATTACTGGTGTGAGTTTAACATATGACGGATTTTTCTTCATTGGTCAAACTTCTTGTGATTCGCTGGACAGCGAATGCTGAAATAACTTAGGAAGTGTAGGGATCATAAAGCGCAAGCCCATCTCCACTCACTGAACCTTATTGGATAGATATTTTTGATGGTCTACCCCAAAAATTTGATTCATAGTGAATAAGGGCAGAGAATATACTCTGGAAATTCTCGTCTATCTCCTCATCTTATGGAAATGAAAACGTAGTGGTTCTGGATCGATTTTTAATATGCTCCAGAGTTATCGCGGTTTGTGGTCCACACGTATGCTTGTCTGTAAGGCATCAGGCATCGGTTTCTTGGAGCACTCACTCCTGATCTCTTCACCTTTTCCAGCATCGTCAATATTCTGATGATGCATCCTCAACTAAGTTTTTCATCCTGGTCTGTGTCAAAGCTTCCCCGGTCACAATAAAAGTCACGAGGTTTAATGTTATACTTTCACTCACCAAGCTTTCTGATTTCAGATACTCTTGAACCTAGACAGGTTGAGCTGCTGGTGCTTTTGACGGAATAAAATACTCTTCTCTGAATAACTAATTGCTTATCTCAGCCAATACCGACGAAACACAGATCATTAGATATTAAACATTCGATGCTTCCGTGCACAATCAGATAACCCTAAAACGGTCGTGCATGGATTAACACTTGACTTTTTTGTGGATAATTATAATAATCTCCCCACGGATGTTTCAAATATACGGCTAATAATTTAGGAAGGGAGCTGATAACAGTCAATGGTTGTCCCGGGACATGGAAAAATGAGGAATATGTACGACGGTGGCGAGTTTCGAACATGACCTTCGTGGAGCCGTTGTAATGATGATTCGTAATTGAAATCACTACCTTACAAGTCAGTGAACTGTTTTTCCACCTCAAGGTACAAATTCATGTGTCTAAGGCCCAGCAACGAAGAAATGTTGGACATACTAATGAGTGCGTGAAATACGATGGGATCTTTGGCTTGCTTTAATTGTCTAAACAGTCCCACAGAGCACATTTCAAATAGAACAATGAGTGGCGAACAAGCTCGTTTTCAGCGATTCGTAGTCATGCCAAATGCCTCACAATAAATATTACGCTGTTTATATGTAAATCAGTATTCAAACAGGCAGGCACTTAAGTTCCCCTGGACCACCCCCGCACGCACCCCATATTCCGATCGAATGACCTAACAATTATGTGATCATTGACAATGCGACATCCGGTCCCAAGACGAAATTAGCCCCAGATAACCCATGAGGTTATTTTCCCTTCTCCAAAACAATTGTTAGCGTTTTTATGATTGAATACTGATTTATATATAAACAGCGTAACATTTATTGTGAAGCATTTGGCATGACTACGAATCGCTGAAAACGAGCTTGTTCGCCACTCATTGTTCTATTTGAAATGTGCTCTGTGGGACTGTTTAGACAATTAAAGCAAGCCAAAGATCCCATCGTATTTCACGCACTCATTAGTATGTCCAACATTTCTTCGTTGCTGGGCCTTAGACACATGAATTTGTACCTTGAGGTGGAAAAACAGTT